CTCTTCAAGCGAGAGAGTAGTTGTAGTCGAGATAGGAGTAGCAACCGGGTTGGCTTCAAGCATATGAAACTGAGAGAGAATGTCATGCATGTACTTGTGTTGAGAAAGAAGAAAGCCCTCATTGGTGGGAATAACTTCAATGCTAAGAAAGTAGTTGATATAAACCAAGTGTTTGAGAGATAACTTTTGAGATAGTTGATCCTGAAATGCATATAGAGTCTTGACATCGTTTCCCGTTATAAGTAAATCATCAACATAATTGAGGAAGTTGAGAGTAATATGATGTTGATGATAGACGAATAGGGAGGCATCAGAACTAGTCTTTCGAAAGCCATGGTCTTCAAGAAAGGAGCTCAATGCAGTATACCAAGCACGTGGCGCTTGTTTGAGACCATAGATAGCCTGGTTAAGTCGACATACCATATTGGTAGTACCAGGTTGATGAAAGCCTGATGGTTGTTCCATATATACTTCTTCTTGCAATGGGCCTTGAAGAAAATCATTATTCACATCATATTGAAAGATAAGCTAATTATGAGAGAGAGCAATAGTTATCGTCCGTACAGTGACATGTTTGACAACCGGGTTGAATGTATTATGAAAGTCAACACCAGGTCGCTGATGAAACACCTTAGCCACCAGACGAGTCTTGTAGCGTTCAATGGACCCATCAGGATGATGTTTTACTCGGTGACCCATCGATTGGCTAAGACATTGTAGTGTGGTTGACGAGCAACTTGTCCATGTATTATTTGCAATCAACACATCATTTTCCTTGTTGAGAGCAGCGTTCCATTCAGGATACTAAAGAGATTCCTTAAGAGACTTAGGCTCAAGAGGTGGGGTCTTGGTAGTCAAAAACAATCTCTTGGGTTTAAATATATTATTTTTTGATCTGGTAACAATCTGACGAACTGGAGGAGGTGGTGGCGATGGTGGAGGATTCTCTGTTGATGAAGTTCCTAAGTTGGGGGACACTGGAGTTGGGGAAGCATTAGGAATGGAGTGACTAGAGTCAAGGCGTGGGCCAGATATGGCAACGGTGGAGAGAGGAATCAAAGTGAGAAGATGTGATGTGGCTACTAGCTTAGAGTCCGTCGTGGGATGAGCTGCAGAAGTGTTAGTATCAAAGCCACGGAATGTGTTTTCATTAAAAGCAACATGGCGAGACACAAGACACGTTGAGTGGTGGGCAATTTGGGATAAATGGCAGTTGAGAAGGCAAAAGACCAAAATATAGAGGGCAATTTGGGATGATGAAGAAGAGTGATCCAGGTCTCGACAAGATGACAATGTTTTCTTTCAGCTAAGCCATTGTGTTCAGGAGTGTAGGATGGAGTAAGTAGATGACTTATCCCATTGGATTCAAGATCTGAACGAAGTTTAGCAAATTCTCCTCCACCATTAGTATAGAGTCGCCGAATAGTAGTTGAAAAATAATTTTCAACCATTCGACGAAAGGGGAGAAAGATCTATAGAGCATCTGATTTTTTACGAAGAGGATAAAACCAAGTGTATCGAGTAAAGTGGTCCACAAAAATAATAGCCATCAACCGAAGAAATAGGAGCAGGGCCCGAACATTCGAATACACAAGATCAAATGGACGACTACTTGTCAAACTAGAGACAGAGAAGGGAAGTTTATGAATCTTATTGCACAGACATGAATCAAAAGAAAAATCCGACTCTTTGGAAATTGGAAGAGATTGAGTACGAAATAAACGAGACAAAGACTTAGCCGAGGGATGACCAAGTCGATAGTGCCAAGAAGACGAAGAGGTATGTGTGGTGACCAATGCTAGTCGTACCGTTCCCATATTCATAACTCATATACATCTCCATTATTCTTTCGCTTCAGAATTGGCGCCCCCGTGCTTAGATCCTTCACAACAAAAAAAAAAAGAAAAATTCAATTGAAATTGGATTAGTCCGACATAATTTGGCTACTGATAGTAGACGCTTTTTAATGGCTAGAACACATAAAACATCATCCAATCTCAACGAATTATCACCACTTTGAAGCACAGAAGAGCCAATATGTGAAATTTCAAACCCGAGCCATCACTAACAAGAATTTCATTTGGCTCATTGTAATCAGAATAAATAGAGAGATTACCCAAATTGTCAGTCACATGACGTGAAGCTGCTGAATCCATCAGCAAAGGCCCACTGTCATGGTTGCGGCCTAAGTAGGATGAAGTTGTGGTGTTATGGGTCTGAGCCCTCTACTATCGGGCTGTGGAAACAACTTAAAACAGCTACGAGCTGAATGGCCTGCTTTCTCACAATACTGACAACAGATAAGTTGCTTACCAGAGGCGGGTCGAATGTCTTCTTGAGTACAGAGGACCGAAACAATGGATTGGGTTGGAGCTGAGAGGCGGCCTGCTGTCGTTTCTGTCGTGGATAGAAGTCGTTGTTGCCTCCATCGATTCTCCTCTATTGCGCGACAAAAGCATTCTGAACAGAGGACTCCGGCTGCCCACCTTGCACGACGAAAGTCGTCGGAATAGAATATTTTGGTGGGCCTCTTTTCAACACCGCCTCGAATTCTGCGAGAGCATCCACCAGCTCTTCGACGGTAATCAGCATCCCACGAGATCGAATTGCAGCGGAGATTCTGGACGAAGCCCACACAAACAGTGAAGCACCATATATGTGTCTGAAACTGGATCTTCCACCATTGACAGTTCCGCCGCAATCGATTTCATCTTCGGAAGGTAAATTCGAACATCTCTATTCCCTTGCTTCTCCTGACCCAACCATTCTTTGAGATTCATAATACGGGGAGGACCGCGACTGGTAAAAAGCTTTTCAAGAACAATCCAAGCCTCACGAGCAGTGGAAATAGAGGTGACGTATGTATAGATTGATTCAGAAACAGAGCATCGAAGAGCATGGAGTATCAACTTATCTTGACGAAACCAGTGTCGATACGAAAGCCAACCCATGGCCTTTAAGTTTGCACAGACCCACCATACCTTGTGCTTCAATCAACTGTTAATATTGGGGGTCGTGGAGATGCGAACACACGACCACTTGGCCAAACCAACTCAGATACCATGTTATAAACCAGTTGGTCCAATAACTCGAGTTATTGGGAAAAGGTTATGATGTATGTTATACCACTCTTTAACACTCTTATGCTTTCGCATGAGAGTTATAAGATGCTCTTTCACCTCGACGGTTAAGGAAGCATTTTGTTTGGCTGAACAGAGACAAGAAAAAGATTGAGAAAAAAAAGATACAAAGGTGGCAGGAGATTTGCGGAAGTGAGACAGAGGGAGAGAGAAAAATTTAATCAATATGTTTTTGTAACTTCCTAAAATGTAATTTATTAAAATAGACAATTAATAAATATTTTTCCATACTCAATTTTCCTTAGTAAGCATGGTGGCTACTACTTTATTGTGGGATCGTTTGGACAACATGATTTAGGCCGTAGATTTGCTTAATCCGTAGATTTTGTAGAAAATTATGTTTTTTTGTTGATTTTTGTATTATGTATTTTAGCTTTAGAGATTTTAAATCTCCAAAATCTACGGATATGAAATCTCTCATAACTAGAGAGATTCTATATCTTGATTCTTGAGATTTTTTTCTCCTACATTTTCTCTTATTTTTATTTATTTGACACATTAAATATATTTATCAACAAAATTCTCAATATTTCACAAACCATTCTAATTTTTTTATTAAGACTAAACATGTTATACAATATAAAAATACAATTAATCTTTTCTTTAAAGGTTAATAATTACAATTACCAAATAATAAATATTTTTAAATCTGTTTTCAAGAATTCAAAGAGTTAGAATCTACAGATTGTTGGCGATACATAGATTTAACTCATATAAGCCCTCCCGTCTGTTATTGCCTGTTGCTATGGAATATACTTCATCAACAGGAATGTGATAAATGGTGCTATATGGTTTGAAAGAATTTACTCAAAATATATTAAAATAAATATTTTTTTGTAGATCACAATTAATTCATTCTTAATTTTTTTTTTGAAAATTTGATCTATATGGTAACTAAAAAACCCAGAGTCAAATATAATTATGGGTTAATATATTTGTATAGCCTGAAGTTTACACATAATTAACATCTTGGCCAATCTTTTCAATCTATAACATGCTGACCCAAACTATACATCAAAGTAACGAAATTGGCCAAACCCGATGGTTGACCATTATCTTGGACGGTCAAACACGTTGACTAATGGTAGTCAACGTGCCATGTCACAGCCAAATCAACAACTTTCATTTAAATTTTTTTCTATTTTCCACCTATTACCATTTTTATTTTTCATTTTGAACCAAAAGAAGAAAAAAATTAACTTCATTTTGAACTAAGAAAAAGAAAAAGGGTAATAGGTGGAAAATATAAAAAAAATTAAGTGAAAGTTGCTGATTTGACAGTGACGTGGCGTGTTGGCCGTTAGTAAACGCGTTTGACCATCCAAAATAACGCTCAAACATCGAATTTGGTCAATTTTGTTACTTTGATGTATAGTTTGGGGTCAGGATGTTACAGATTGAAAAGATTAGCCAAAATTTTTATTATATGCAAAGTTAAGACCATACAAATATATTAACCTATAATTATAGACAAATTCGTAATAGATAGTAATGCATGTGAAGTGAGGGACTGTAGAGGGGAATCAGTGCAGCCGATCTACTCACCCACCTTCATCCTTCTTCTTGTAATGAAACACTCTGGAACGATGGTATAGTGATCTTTAAGACTCTCTTCCATTGATTTATCAGTGCAAGCTTACATAAGATTGCTCTATTAAAGAAAGATAGCTATGCATTCCTATCTCTGCCGGAAGCATCTCCATTCGCCAAATGTCGCAAAATATGATCTTCGGCAACGTTGCACCTCACCTCATAGTTCGATTTAACCGAAGTCATTAAAAATCTGATCAATTAAGATTAACCGCATATTACTAAATTAATTGAACAAAAATGAAAACGATGAAACAAGGAATCGGTGTAATGGGTGGCGGGCCCCACTCCACCAAGCTCGTCTCCTTCTTCTCTGCTGCGTGTCATCCACCCTGTCACCTTTGTCCGTACTCTGTCTCCGGCTTGACCTGCTACAGGTTCAACCCGTACCTCGCACGTGCGCTCCCCTTCTCTCCCATCTCCGCCCACACGTGCCGCCAGCAGCTCTCCTTTTCCCCTTTTCTTCCTTTCTCCTTCTCTCTCTCTCTCACTCGCATTTTTTTGTGGTGCAACAACAATTGCCTCATCACCATCCTCTCCTCTCTACAACCACAACCGCAGCAGCCAACTCGTTTCAAAAAGCAGCCACGATTCAGAGCTAATTATAAAACAAGCAGCTGCCTAATTCTTTCTTCTGGAATCTCAGAAAGAGAGAGAGAGAGAGAGGGATTAGAGCAGCGTAGAGGGAGATCGTCAATTTGTTTCTCTTCTATTTTCTTTTTAGCTCTCGATCTCGTGAGCTTGTATTTGGTGATTTCGGTTCTCGATCTTTGCGGATTAGCGATGAGGATCAGGAAGAGGAAGGTGCCGCTGCCGTTCCATTTAGTCTCCCCAGTTCCCATCCCTCCTTCATTCTTCTCCTCAGATCCCGGTCCCACCGCCACTACTGCTACTCCGCCGCCGCCGCTGGTGCAACTCCGGCAAGACCACTCGGGAACAGGAGGGCCGATTCCCGCCTCCGATGATAACAAAGCCGGAGCTGCCGGCTTCGGTTCCAACCCGACTTATCGACCGAATCGGGCGGAAAGGAACAGCCACGTCGGCTCTGACGGCATTGGGTGGGCGCACCTGATTTACCCGGTGAGTTCCCCTCTCCTCCCCTCATCCTTGTTTTTGTAATTCATCTCAAATTTACTGACAGTAAGTTTTTAGTTACCCTTGCGCCTCGTGGCTGACTGTGATTCCGATCGGACTGCACTGGTGCGCTTCGTAAAAGTTAAAATTGCGGGCTGCCTAGCTGGGATCGCAAGAGCTGCTTTCTTTTGTTTATTTTGTTTTTCCAATAAAAACAGATAATTGATGCACCAGCAAGCCGTAAAGAGAGCCGGATTTCACCCCGGAAAGGGAGTGGAAATGATTGGGTTGGGTGGATCCGATCCGATCCGATCCAATCCATCCATCCACCTAGATCCCACTGTCTCATTAATTATTTTTTGCTTTTTCTTTTTTGTTTCCGTAGATTTCGTGGGAGGATGGAAAAGATGAATTTGGGATCAAGAGGAGCATAAGTGCCAACAATGTTGCTGCTGCTGCTGCTGTTGCGAGGTAACAATTCCCATGGGGAAAAAAAAAATTCCATTGATGAGTCTATACATGCATGTATTATTACTTCTCCTGTTCTCCAGTAAGCACATTCTCTAGTGACCCAGAAGTGGATTTTGTGTTTTTTTTTTACTGTGCCCATGTCTAATTATCTGGGTAAATATATATGAACTGAACCATATATAGCAAGGGAAGTAAGTGCAGTAGTAGTACTGATCCGGAGATTTTGGGACAACAACAACGACAATCAGCTGCTCCCGCTTCTGCTTCCGCTTCTACTTCCCATCAACCACCTGGTAATTAGATCTATATAGCTAGCTAGCTAGCTGTATACACATGCACAACATTTGCTGATCAGTGGATCTATCTTGCTGTTGCACCAATATAATGTAATAGATTTGGTTTGTGTTTGTGTAACATAAATATTTTGTTGGGCGCGCAGTACTTGGGGCAATGTCGACGTGGTGCAAAGAGTATCCTCATCATAAGGACACGAAGAATGATAATAGTAACAATAAGTTAATCCCATCTCGGAAGAGAAGCAGCTGGTCGTCTTCCCCCTCCTCCTCGTCTTCATCCTCATCCTACTTTGACATCAATGGAGATCCAGCGACGATCAGGAGCCCATCGAAATGTCAGCAAGAAGTTCGACCACAAGCGTATCAAACTCATCCTCGTGATACCAAAGTCGTGCATGCTGATCATATCAGCGGAATAGGTGGTGGTGATGGTGGTGGTGGTGCAAACAGTAATGATAAGAAGAAGAGGACACCAGCAGGAGGCGGAAGAACGGGTGGTGGCGTGGTGATGGAAGGGTCTCGTTGCAGCCGAGTGAACGGGAGGGGATGGAGGTGTTCGCAGCCAACTCTCGTGGGCTACTCACTGTGCGAGCATCACTTGGGGAAAGGCCGTCTCAGAAGCATTACCACTGCCAGCAACCTCCGACCACCACCCCGTCAATTGGGCACCACCGCTGCAACTCCTTCTTCCGTGCCACCAAAGACGAAGCCTAATCCATCTTTGACGATGATCACCTCGCCGGTGGTCCATCCATTTTATGGTGGAACAGATACAAGGACGAAGCACATTGGAGTAGTGCTGCCAAGTAGTAGTAATTATGGGCTTTACGACGAGAAGGAAGAAGAAGAAGAAGAAGGGAAGACGCAGCAGCCGCAGTTTGTGTTTCCTAGTAATAAGAAGAAGTCGAAGCTTGGGACGGTGAAAGCTCGGTCCATTAGCAGCTTGCTGGACCAACCCGATAACAGTAATGCTGCTCTGGCGGCACTGCTCGCTGATAATCATCATCACAATTAAATATTCAGTGGTAGTACTATCTATTTAGTGAAGATGATCTCAGGTGCAATTGTGTGATAACAAGAATATACTATATATCGCTTGGTTTATGGTTTGAGTTTCATGTGGTTGTTTAATGTAAGTGGCATGCATTAAATGGATGTTAAGCAAGCTTTCATCAGTTGCTATATATTCTTTGTAAAGATCAACGGCCAGAAAGAGTTGCATTTTATATATGTTATATTAAGGTTCGGACTGCTATACTAGCTACTGACTCTGGAGGGTATGATATTTCATATATTTTTAGTGAAATATCTATCTAGATTATAAATAAATTTTTTTAACGCTATAATCTTTAACAGACACACCGATTTCCTTATCTATACAAAACAATAATTGATCATTCATATTGTTCAGAATTCATCAAAATACATCTAACGGCCGGATCATCTAAGGTTTACTATATATATGGATTATACCAGCCTTACCTGGTGATTAAGCTAAGAGTTTAGTTGGAGAATAAGGATATAGAATATGATTAATTGATGAGGGAGATGGAAGGGCTGGAGATTATTATAGATGGACGGACACTGTGCATCTTTTGACCATTCAAGAATCCAGCTGCAGGAGAAGAGTAGAGACAGATACAGCACTCCCCAATTGGCTGCCACCTAAAGTGCTGGTTGTAAATGTACACCCTTATTATTCCCGGCCGGTCCCCTTTTCAATCCTCCATCTATAATATTCCCCGGCCCATACCATATCATATGGAAGTTTTTGTGGATTAATTAATTAGCTAAAGCGGGTGCTATATGAAGAAAGACAATATTATTAATTAGTTAAACAAAATAGTAATGCTTAACCCAAAAAAGTCAAGATTAGCATGCTGTCTCTGTACTTGAGGTTGACCCAAAAAAAAAAAAAAGAAAGAAAGGAAGGAAGAAAATTTATAAGTTCAACTTAGAACTTAAATATCTTCTTACGAGAAAAAAAATGTTATTACAAAGACTTAAACTCGAGTCCTTCAGTTGATAGTCAATAACCCTAACCAACTAGACTACAACAATGTTTATATATTTTTTGAATTAATGAGAGAAAATACTGAAATATCTCAAAATCATAGGACTATCCACCGCAACAATCAATCATCGAATTAATTAATAACTGTAATTATTTACAAAGTGAATCATCATGATATGCCTAGCTTTATGAATCTAAGTGAGTTCCTCTAATCACACAATTCTTCACGAAGAATCAAATAGTACATTTTGAGTTTATGTATGTCTTACAACTTTTACATTTATTAGGTTACATGACTTTGTAATTTGTAGGAATACAAGGTTTGTTTACAAAAGTGCTATACAAAATTTTATTTCAAAACATAAAATTTGACTTGAAATAAAATTTGACATGTGTGATCTATGATTTTGTAACGTGACATTTTCAATGCTATAAGTGAATGACCAAAAATCATTTGCTAACAATTTCCCTAATGGTTGACAATTATAAACATAGAATTGAAAGACTAAATACCATTGACAAACGAGCCAGTTATCATTGGCTAAATTTAACTAAACCCTATATCATAATTCTCTAAATCCTAATATAGTGCATATGGTATGTTGTATACATCTTGGCGAATTACAATCATTGATTATGTTCTTAGTATATGTGATATTAGGGTTTAAGTTCTATAGATTTAGGGTATATGATTTAATTATTGGAAACTTAATCTCCCTTTTCAAATTTCCTGCAATGAGAGGGAAATTAGGAAGAACATTTTTGTCTTCACAATTATTTGTATATTTATTTATTTGCAGGAAAAGATAGACACATTGAGATTTGAACCATGGTCACTTCAAACAAAGTGAGAGTTTAATATGAAATCACAGAACTTTTCAACAGTTAGCTAGCCCAATAAATATTTCGTAAGTACTTATTTAGTATTTTGATACTTCGATTTTGATATTTTTTATTTTAATTATAGTTTAATACTTAATTTAAAATGTTATCTATCTTATAAATAAATGATAACCATAAATTTGCAACCAAAATATTGTTGGTTTGAATATTTCATATCGAATTATAGTATTGAATATGTAGTAGCGATATTGAATTCTTAAATTACCATTAATTTCTAGAACTATAGTGAAGCAATCATATCTGTAAACTATAGGGGACTGGTTCTCTGAACATTTTTTTCCGTTTAAATACTAAGTTTTGAAACTCTTCCTAGGGGTGTACGTGGGTCGGTTCGTTTGGGTTTAGATATTTTAATCACCTAACTCATATACCACGATTTTGAAAACACTAAATACAAACTCATCCAAATAATTTAGAATTTTAACGGTTTGTGTCCTCCATACCAAATGAACCAATTTACATGTCACTTAACTAAGGACGATGTCCAATCCCATCATTCTAATGTCAATCCATAAAAGTAACCCATATTCGTGTTTGTTAACACATGTTTCACATTGTCATTACTATGACAGGTAACTTCTCTGCAACTGATTCGGTATTGCTCATCATATGGCCTCCAAACTGATAAACATATCGGGCCAGCAGTTTTATGACAAAACTCAAAGTGAAGACAACTCATCGTCTGGTGGAATTTTGGCGCTTGATGGTGTCCATTAATCTAATTGCAAGCATAATGATTGCTAAAATTAAGCTCTCACGCAACAACTGGGAGTTGGGGTGTGAACTTGGAGTAAAAGTTGATATTGGGTTTGGGAAGGGAAGTGGTGAGAGGAAGAAATTGTGTTTGGATTTGGTAGCAGGTAAAGTTCATGGTTCGGTTTCTTTTCGTAAAATGCTTTGATTTATTTAGTTAGAGGTATAATATCATGGTTATGTGGGAGCAAATGAACAAAAAACGAGCTTGGGGGATGAGAATTCCAACTTAGAAGGAGTGGATTAGATTTTGATAAACTTAAGTTCATGATTAACTGAAAGAATATTTAGATTTAGACTTTGTGGTATTGAGATGTTCATAGAGAGTTTAAAACTGATCCAATGCCATGGATTGATATTGGTTAGTTGATTGTGATTTTGAGGCAGGTGTATAAAAAGTCATGGAAGTAGTTTGCAGCAAGTGAAGGCATTAAAGAGGCAGTTGGTCAGGGTAGTGATTGAACCAATGAGGGTATTGAAAGACATAGAAGCAAAATCGGAGCAGTTGAAGAGAGAGAAGTGGTAGATGATAAAGATATTAATGAAAATGGAGAGGGTATTGAAGGGCATGGAAGTGAGTTGGATCAGGTGAAGGCAGAGAAGGAGGAGAATAGCATATTGATGAAATTGAAGATGAATGTTGGTTTTACTATCTTATTAAAACTGCCCCGAGGAAGATGAGTTGGCCAAATACAAGAAACATGATCGAGGAGTTGGAGATCAAGCTGACAAGATACTCAATTGAAAGAGAAATTCAGGTTGATGGAGAGAAGGTCCATCAAAGTAGCATAAATGGAGTTGCAGAAGGAGGATTAGAAATTGAATTTTGGTTTAAAACATATACGTCGAGAGATTGAAGATGGAGGGGATAAAAAGTTGGTTGTACAACGAAGAGTGGAAACTATTGAATTTTTAGGTGTTATGGTTGTTGCAACTACCACAACCTATGTTTATGTTAAAACGATGAATCATTGATTGATTTACTAAAGTTAATGTCGATTCACTATTCAAACTACTGGAACCTGTAGATAATGAGTGTTTAATTTTGTGCATCATTACTTTGATCGAGTCTATTAGTATATTGGATGTAACTTCAATTTTGTCATTTGCTCTCAAGTTTTGATGGTCTCCTTTTAGTTGAGTTGTTAGCATATGATTTACTTGAATCGACAACTCTTTATTTCTATTTTTTTTTTGTAAATCCATTTCTTTTTTATTAGTGGCATGTTATTCATAGAGGAGAGCTTTGAACCATTTATGTGAGATTGTGAGGTTTCATTTCAGTTTCAAACTATCTATGGATCGTGTGGGAATTCCAATGAGCTTTTATATTATATATTTACGGACAATCTATTAACCAATATCATTTTAATGGGGGCTCAATTATCATTATGAAAATAGGATTTATGATACATTTTTATATTCTTAAATGAGGAGGGTTCGACCTATATATTAATTCTTTATGTAGCATCTCGATTGAATGATTTTCAATAAACTAAAACGAATTAATAGACTTAACCATAACATAAAAATATAAAAATTAAAATATGAACGGCCAACGGACCGGATTATAAGCTAGTATTAGTATATATACAGGATGTACATTGGTACTACGCAGCTTTGCGGTGAGCACATAGCAGCGAACTATTCTTTTGCTTAAATTGGTACTACTAGCTTGCTTGCTAGAATACAAGGAAAGGGATAAAAAAAAAGAAGGGTAAAATTGACAGAGTGGCCATATACAACTTAATTGGTCCCCCAAATGCAATATTCGAGCAGTGAAGGAAGCTACCGAAAACTGTTGGGTTGATGTTAGTCTTCCTTACTAATTATTCATCCAAATTATTTTGGTCTACGCATAATCATTACTGTCTGCCTGGCCCTCATATTCTACATATTTGTATAGTTGATTGGCATCCCCTTCATGTTTATTAATTTGGTCTTCTTCTTCTTTCCCACAACTAGTTACTAATTATTCATCCACATTAATATCGTGCGACTACTGCGACTGTATGTTTGATGTCTAAATTATATCGAAATTAAATCGATGGATGAGATGGAGAGATTATAATAATTAAAACGAGAGCTAGCAAAGTTGATGATCACCCAAAGAGCACGTACCTTACTAACGGAGTGCGTGACGGCTAATTAAGAACATTTAATTAATTAAGTAAGCAACAAAAGAGGTTGGTTTTGTACCCAGTTATATTTCATCATGATCAGGATTGCATGCTTTAATTGGTTTCCCATGCATGGGCCCTACCTTTGCTGCCTGCCTACGTATTGATGGCTCTCCTTCAACTGTGAACCACCGTTACAACATGTCCGTTTAATTAATATTATTCTATTTATAATACGAAAAATACAACATAACCAACGTTTTTTTATGAGGTCATTGATATTCGTTATATTCTAATTGTTTTCATCGAAAAAGAAAACATTATATCACTTCTCTCGACTCTTATTTACATTGAGATGTGTTTGTTTATTTGTATGATGTGCTCTTATGTTTTTATCTCTTTCTATGTACGTACTTCTTTCATGGCTTCGGGTTTCATTGAAAATGGGGAAAAATCAAACAAATATATTTGTGGGGAGATGATAAGAAAGGATGCATGGGATGGGGACAACCTTAGCCGGCCGGCCGGACCCAATATTGCCACAACTCAATCACTTAGGTACGTCTCATTAATTTACATTCTATTCTCTCTTTTATTTATTTATTTATTATTATTATTATTATTATTATTATTATTATTATTATTATTATAATACACGGTATGCCCTCCAGCTAGTTGCTAGCCTACCTGACTGCCTGCATACCATACATATTACATATATATCCACTGTAAGTACAACGCCTTCCAATCAATATATATATATGATATATGACAGCTAACTGTAATTGTAACTATCAAAGGAGTTCCTTTCCTACTCAATTAATAGCTAGCACTGTACGCGATCATCAACTAATGTTGCTTTCAGAGTTTTAGTCTGAGTCCTCACTTACGGATCGATCGAGCTTCAACTATATAGATCGAAAAAAGGGTGGCCTGCAGGCTGCCTTCAAGCGCCAGATTAATTGATCTGGTAGGAATAGCTAGGATGCATGCTCAATTCGAATCTCTGGTATATCTTTCTTTCTTAATTAATGAACTCAAAAATTTCAATCACTTGGATTATATATACGTAGCGAAGGAAATTAAATTTGAGAGTTTAATTATCAATTTATCACAGTTGAATCTTGTAAACTTCTCCGACATATGTAACTCTTTTTTCACAATTTGAGTTATTGCAATTAATGGGATTTTGATGGTTTTGTGACTAGAGAGTCTTCTATTCGTGTTGGAAAATCATAATACGGTTTTATTACTGAAACAACATGGGTTTATATAGAGTACAGAAACTGACTTCTAAAATAACCCTAACACTAATAAGGAAATGACCTAACTTCTACGACTCTAATAAAGAATATAACTCTGCCCAATTATATAACATAATACTACTCGTGCTACGCATACTCTAATACCCTCCCCAAATTGATGGTAATAACTCACCACCAATTTGAAAACCGAAACAAAAAACGACAAAAATTACTACCAACAATGTGACAAAAAAATGAAAAACATAACTGCTCCGCCAAATATGCCAATGTCGATGAAGACCATGTCCAATGCCTCGTGAAACATCGATGGTGATAACCTGGAGATAATAAAAGGTCCGCTAAAGTCGTCTAGTCCGTCGAACTAACTGAACCACGTGCTCCGAACAACATCATGGCGATCAGGATGCTCCGAATAGCATCGTAGAAACAGAAAAAGAACCAAGTGCTCCGAACAACAACATGGCGATCAGGATGCTCCAAATAGCATCATCGAAACAGAAATGAAACCAAAAATGCTCCGAACAACATTTATCAAATTGAGATATTCCGGACAATATCTCAAACTAAGGTGTTCCGAACAATACCTCTAAACCGAAATCAAACTGACGAAACCTATGGTTATATACCAAACCGAGACAAACTTGAACAACTCCGGTTGAAAACCCTTTGCCATCTCCATCCTAACCAATTTAAGTGACTTTCGTTCGAGTTGTTGAAATTAATTAGTTTATGACATGACATCCGAGTTGGTTTGGCCAAATGGTTGTGAGTTCGAATTTTCACGACCCCCAACATTAAATATTGATTTAAGCACAAGATATGGTTGACCTATGCAAATTTCAAGATCGTGAGTTGACTTTCGTTTAAGGAGGTATGGTGGACATGCACAAACGATAAATTCAATGTTTAGTACTCCCCTTCAACTTGAAGGGGTGTGATAAGGATTTATGTTCAAGTATATGGGTCAGTGATGGTTCGTGAATCATAGCTTAAGTGCTATTTTTGCTAGACTCGATGTACTTACGTACCTTTTTTTACAAAAGATAATCATATATATTGATTCAAACAATAGATCATTACATCCTAGAATTTAACAAGACAAGAAAATCAAAGACATGACACGTAGTCGGGTACAATAAAATGGTATTTCTAGCCACCAGATGGGCTACTCTATTACTACTGCGACCTACAAATCGCACATTAAGCCTAGTTTGAATAGCAAATAGCATCCGACTTCCTCAAGGATGACCCCCATCCGATTATCCCGGGTATCAGCCTTATTTAATTTATCAATTATCACTTTGGCATCTCCTTACAATCTCGTCTCCGTAAATCCATTCTCCAGAAACAATAGAATAGCCTCCCTGAGAACGAGGAGCTCGACTACCATAGGATGATAAATATAAGCAAACTGCACCCCTTTCGCCAAAACGATCATCCAGCCTTGGTTCATGATAATCATTTCCCCTGTTGAGTTGGACTCACTCTTAATTGCCTCATCCTACATGCAAATAACTGAATTAGTGTTCCCACCACCTACGTAACTCGCTTGTGGGATGGACGACAACACCACGCGGTCTATTGGCAAACTAATCCACTCCTGATATTGTTGGTGAAATTGCTGCATAAAAGATAGGATCCTAAATTGTTTGCCCACAAAGAAAACCCCATTTCGCGACTGCCAGATCCGCCAAAGGACCGTGACAACCCCCATAAATAGTTGAGGTTGATGTATAAGGACCAACAACTTCTTAAGGAAAAGCAGAAAAATGCGACGGGGCAAACCTTGCCCAAGATATTCGAGACCTGAGTGATCCCATAGAGCATTTGCCACTGGGCAATCAAAAAACAAATGTTCCATGGTCTCTAATTCTTCCCAACAAACCAGGCACTTGGGAAGCACCAGAAATTCCTTCTCATATATGGCTTTCGTCGTTGGGAGGATCTGATGTAAAATTTGTCATAAAAGCACCTTCAAATTGGGTGGAATATGGGCGCTTCCCACTAGCAGATCCAGCTGGACCTATACGTCCAACTAGCCATGTATCACCACCTTATCATGCCAGATTAACCTATTCTCAACCTTCTAACGAGGAAGAGGGATTGTTTTGATGGCATGACAAGTTTCCGGATCAAACCACGGACCGAGTTTGACATCACACCACCGACCCTCCCCTTGGCATATCACCTCCAGCACCTTTGGATCTCCACCCTTTGGTAGCACCTGGGGGTTATACATAGGGGTATGGGGGTGTAACCGAGGAATCCAATTTGAGTAAAGCATTGAAGCTGTCCGCCCGTTACCAATCTACCATCGGAGCCCCTTCACTAATAATTGTCTCCCATACAGGTACTTTGCCATCCCCAAGATGGGCGAGACCGAGTAGTCGCAGTGAGGAAGGTCCATATTGAAAAATATTTCCCCTTATAAACATGGACTAGGAGCGAATGGGGCTCATAAGGATGCATCATCCAATTTTGGCCCAAAACGCATGATTAAAATGTTCGAAGTGTCGAAACCCCATTTCCCAATCGTGTTTACGCCGACACATATTCCGACAAGACATCCAATATATCCTAGAATGACCCTCCTCAGCACCCCCACTAAAATTTTGCTACGTGTTTATCTAAGAGGCGACAAAGAGAGAGAGAGAGAGAGAGAGAGAGAGAGAGAGAGAGAGAGAGGGAGGGAGGGAGTTTGAAACAAGATATGACCTGCAATGGCAGAGCTAAAGCCACTGATTTAATCAATGTCTCATTTGCTGCCCATGACAGTGTCCTTTGCTTCCATCCCTGAATCTGACCCAACAACTTTATCCTGCTACCCCCACGGCCCTGACTCCCAGAATCTGAGCAAGAAAATCTTTGTCTGAAATAGATATATTTTTGCTAAAGCACACTGTGATTTAGCCAAGTTAACTCTTTGGCCACTGAGTTTCTCGTACTCAGTTAAAACCTCAATCGGGTTCTCACATTTTTGCACAGAACCTCATAGGAATACGTAAGAGTCATCTACAAAAAACAGATGAAAAATCCGTGGAGCTCTAGGGGCAACTTTAACGCCTTCTAGCTTCCCTTCTGAAATAGCCTTCCGGATGAGCGTCGCTAAACCCTCAGTGCAAATCACAAACAGAAGAGGGGATAGGAGGTCGCCCTGACGAAGTCCTCTTGAGGGTTTGAAGAAACCCGATGATGTGTCATTCATAAGGAGCAAAAATGACGTTGAACTGAGGCATTCATGGATCCAACCTCTAGATCCATTCATGGATCTTAATGAGGCCGAAGTCTCGGGTTCGAAACCCAATGGAGTTTTTTTATGCGATTTCATTTTTAGCAGAGATCAAAGTTGAGGCATTTCAGTAAATTACCTAAAATGCGGTGTTAATGCCACATAATTTTTGAGAAACCCTAGGGTAGTTTTAGTAATTTTAGCAAATTAGTTATAAAACCCTCTCTTAGGACCAAAAATGAAACCCTCGTCTCTTTAACCTAATCTAAGCGGCCGCCGCTACCTCACTCATTCTCGCTTCTCTATCTCTTTCTCTCTTCTCTTTTTGATCAACAACAAAAAGAAAACCCTAAAAACGATCGGCTCTCATTTCATCCTTCACTCCCTCATTTGCCCGATGTGCTTTCTCCTCCACCTTAAAAAAAAAAGACAGCAAAGGCTGTGGAGATTAGCGCCGGTGATGATGTCATCGGTAGCGACGAAGTTAAGATCGGGATATTTAAGGTACGCATGTCGTTTTCTTGGGGGTTTTCCGATCTTGGTTGGTTCTAGAGTTTCTGATTCCTCTTCTTTTGTTTTTGCTTAATTTTATACGGGTATGAGTGAGGATAAAACGTAGATGGCTAGCTCAAACAGGCAGGGGCGAGTTCAAAATGGCGGCGACGTAGGAAAATGCCATGTTCGAGTTCGAAAGGAGGCGGCTGGGTGAAACACGGACGATTTTGAAATGGCGGCAAGCAGAAATGCCAGAATGGGTAAGCAGCCCAACCAACACTAGAAGCAAAAGAAAAAGTTCATCACTAACACCAAAAGCCAGGAGGGAAATAAGGTTGGGTGAGCTTACAACGATGGTCATGACAGTAAAATAAGCAAACATTCAACATCTTCGATGAGTCTTTACAATATTTTGGTTTTGATAAGTTGAAAAACGCATCTTTCATATTTGTGCTTGGAAATGAATGATATGGGATGATATCAAGTGATTTACATGGTCAGAAAGAAACCTACCTTGGTTGAAAATGGTTTTTGATGTTGGTGATGAACTTTTTCTTTTGCTTCTAGTGTTGGTTGGGCTGCTTTCCAACGTATTTCTTGCCTTTCTTTTTAATTGTGTATCATTTTGTGGGGTGGTCCAATAACTTGTGGAAAGTGACGGGTTTTACTTTTGGATTATTTTTATGGAATGGTGTTTGGGGAATAAGATAAAGTACTGCATAGTTATGATGTTATCTTTATGATAATTGAAATTATGTAACATTGTATGCTAATCTTAATTGTTGTAATGGTGATGCATGTTTACTACGAATGTGATTCAACAACACCATTCATCTTGGGTCGATATGGTACTCAATTGTGATGCTTGAACTTGAATTGTGCGCAAAGTTCATCCATCATTTTACTGTTGAGTTTTTTGGCATTGTCGGTAAACAACCTTTCTAGCAACCCGTAGCGAAAAATGATCTACTTTTTTATGAATTTGACCAACACACTTCTCGTTATGCTCGTATAGGAGGCAACTTCTACCCATTTAGTGAAGTAGTCTATCACTACTAGGATGAAGCGGTGTCCATTGTTAGCTTTAGGTTCGATCATCTATATGACATCAATTTTCCATATGGAAAAGGCCATGGAGAGGACATGACATGTAGTGGTATTGGCAGAACGTGGACTTTGTCTGCATATGTTTGGCACTTGTGGCCTTTTTGGACGTGTCGAATATAGTCAGCTTCCATTTTCGTCCAATAGTAACCCATGTTTAGGATCTTTCGAGACATGACATGCCCACTTGCGTGTGTCCCACATATGCCTTCATGTATTTCTTCTAATATCCTTTGGGCCTCTTTAGCGTCCACGCACCTGAGTAATGTCGACTCGAAATTACTTTTGTAAAGCGTTGAATCAAATAAGTAAAATCTCATATGCCCCTGGTGGGTATTCTTTTTTCTGGATGCAAGTCATTATGTCATGGTACCACGGGTTACTGTCGGGCTCTTCTTCCACATTTGCGAGATATAAAGGTATTTCTCATTTCTCAATTTTAATACAAGGTTCTTTTCCCATTTCATCTGTCTTGTACTTTGATGCCAATGTAGCCAGGGCATCCGCAAATTGATTTTCTACTCGTGAGATATGCTCCAGTTCTATTTCTTCAAATTTTGATGTCAATTCCATAATGAATTTCTGGTACGGGATGAGCTTGGAGTCTCGTGTTTCCCATTCTTCTTTCAACTGGTAAACTACCAATGCTGAATCTCCAAATACTTCCAACTTCTTGATCCCCATTACTAGGAATCCCAATAGTTTTTCCGAAGTAATCCCAAATGTGCATTTTTCAGGGTTTAGCCGAAGCTAATACTTTCGCAATCTCTTTAAGAGTTTTCTCAAAATCTCTACATGGTCCACTCCTGCTCGATACTTGGCTATCAAATCATCCACGTAGACTTCTATCTCTAGGTGCATCATGTCGTGAAATAAGAAAACCATTGCTCTTTGATAAGTGGCCCCTGCGTTTTTCAAACCAAAAGGCATCACTATATAGCAGAACGTTCCCCACAGTGTAATGAACGTTGTCTTCTTTATGTCTTCCGAGGACATCTTGATTTGGTTGTATCCTTAAACCCCATCCACAAACGAGAATAACTCATGATTGGATGTATTATCGATTAAGACATCGATGTGTGGTAGAGGAAAATCATCTTTCAGACTTGCACGGTTCTTCATTCTGCGTAATTTTTGATTGATGGGCTTACAAACCACCCTCAGGGGTAAACAATGTGTCACTATTTTATCGTCTAATCTCGGCATGTCCCTATAGGACCATGCAAACACATCTTGGTATTCTTTAAACAAGTTTATGAGGCGGTCTTTCATATCTTGGCTTAGGCTATCTCCAATCTTCACCTCTCTTCTATCTTCCTTTGTTCCCAAATTTATCACTTGAATGACTTCGTTGTGAGGCTGTAAGTACGTTCATCTTGTTCAACCACTCACTCCCAGTTTGGATACACATCCTCTTCCTCATCCGATTTCATTTGATTATAGGTACGTCAAAATTGATTATTAAATCGTGAAGATCCTTGACATTTTCACATTGTTCACATATCCTGGCATGAAACAAAATAACAAATGAATGGAGGATGACAGAATGAAATGAAAAGGTAAAAGGTTTAGACACGAAAGGCTTGAATGCGAAATGATTGTATTTTGTTGAAAGTAAGAAAATGTGCTAAGGATACTCTTTTTTTTCATTACATCTTGCAAAAGCTTAACTAGTATCATAGGACTAATATCCTCATTATTTAGTTTTTATTTCTAGATATTCAAACTTGACTTTATTGGGCTTTACACTGTATCCACCGAACGCACTTCCGCGACCCTCCAATTGTTCAGCTCTTCGTTTGGAAGCATAAGGCGAACTAACTCGGTGTTCTCGGTGTTAACTACTCCTGTGATGCTGACTGGTAGGTTCTCCAAAGTAACTAAAATCTTATGGCTTTCAGGGACTCCTCCTATCTTGTTGGTATGAATTGTCTTCAGGTTGATGGTGCCCCCGCTCTTGAATGTCTTGCTTATGTGAGGGATCACCATCTTTTTGTTTCCCGGATCTCTTCCTTGGAGATGAACCAATCTTCTGCCTCGTTTCTCTTCTTGTATCCTTATTATGTCTCCTTTATTTCGTTAATATCCCAGGCCACACCGACTCTTGTTTTCCTTAATTTTTAGTGGCGGTCTGATTAAGGACGCCCACATTGCCTTGTTAACCTATTTGATCATTGATTTGGCGGCCATGATGGATGCTGCAGTAAATCTTGGCTTACAGGATTTGTTTCCCATCCTTACATACGTCACATCCTCCATTTCGAGTGACTGGAATGCACTTTCGATGGCTTCTTCAAAAGCCTCAATATAAGGAGCATCCGGGATTTTAGTCACCAATATGTCTTCACCCCAATATAAGTAGCATCCGGGATTTTAGTTACCAATATGTTTTCTTCTCCGAAGACCTCTATTAGGTTCCCTTCAACCACAAACTTCATTTTCTGATGAAGTGATGACAGAACTGCCCCAACTGAGTGGATCCACGGTCGTCCTAGCAGAAGGCTATATGCTGGATTGATGTCCATCACTTGAAACAAGATATTAAATACGGTTGGTCTAATTTAGAATGGAAGTTCAATCTCACCGATCACTTTTCATTTAGTTCTAGCAAAAGCTCGAACACAATGAAGCTAGGTTTTATGGTTGACTCGTCAATAGGAAGCTGACTGAGAGTTGACTTTGGCATCACATTTAGGGTTGATCAGTTATGGAGAAGTGTATGAGCTACCATGTGTCCTTTTTATTTCAGATAAATGTGCAAAGCTTTTGTATGTCTCGTCCCTTCGGAGGTAATCTCGTCTTCATTGAATGAAATCTTGCCATTAGTCAGAAATGCTCCCACAATTCTATCCCACTTATCAATTGATACATTATGGCAGACGTGGGCTTTTCGATGAGGCTATGAGGTGAGAATTAAAGATAAAAGAGAGATCAAAGCAGACATGTGGTTCAATTGTTGCACGACCCTGAATTCGCTTTGTTTGATCAACTTTAGGAATTCACATGCATCTTCATCAGAAACTTGCGGCTCATACTCTTCGGGCTCTTTTATTTTTAGCATCTCTTCTATTTCTTTGGAGATCTCAAGACCCGTGGGCTCCGTAATTTTTAGCTTCCCATGCTTAATTTCATGTCTTTTGGCTAACTCCTCGATTGTACGCATTTCCACATTTTCTGGGATATAATGATTGCATGACCTTGTTATTCCTCCTATCCCAGTTCTATTTACTGCCACTTATGGCAGGGTCACGACTTCTTGGTTCACCTGACAAGTGTAAACCCAAGGTACTGCTTTTGGATCTTCATATCTGAATGACCTTGGGATTTTTATGATTAATGGGGCAACACTCGTGCTTGGCGAGCTTTGGATCTTTGGTTCAGCCTGATAGCAAAAAACTATCTTGGGCATTTTTGAACCAACTTTCTGTGATGATATCATGTCAACTTCATTTCTGTCCCTACCAATGGTGCGGATCGAGATTATTTTGGCATCCATAAGCTGTTGTAACTTGGCCTTGAATCGATCGCAATGTTGGATAGAGTGTCCTTTGGAATTTGCGTGATGACTGATACATACCCTATGGATTTGTGACAATGATTTTTTCTTCAGGAACTTCAAGATAACCATTCCGGGAGAGGATTTTGTAAATGAATTCCAAAGGCGTCTTTATTTCTGACACCTTCTTTCGGTCTACATGTTCCTCACACTGCTCAATGGCTTTTGCTCCATGCCCCATGATTTGGCAGCAGATCATTGTTGATGTTTGGTCGACCTGGCTGTTCTTCGAAATTTAACCATCCGACATTCACTATTTGTTGTACTTTCACCTTCAATATTCTACAATCCTCAGTTGAATGTCCCGCCACTCTGTAATGGTATTCACAATGTTGGCATGGTTTATACCAATTTGGATATGGAGGTTGCATGAGCTCACACGATAGTGGGGCGATTAGTCGAATTTGTAGTAACTGAGGAAAGATTTTTGTATAGGTGACAGGAATGGGATCAATTTGAATAGGTTTTTGATATGTTCCGGCATCGTTTTGGTCTTGGTTATTTTTTTGGGGTACCATAGTAGGTGGATTTTGAGTAGCTGGTGATGAGGTGAAATTTGGGCGATAGGCAATTGGTGGGGGTGTTGGCAATGTAGGCATGAGTTTGATCATTTTGTTGGTTCCACCTCCTCCCTTTACTAGGTTCTCCCTGAACAGAGTAAATATCTCCATCTCTTCTTCGATCTTGGTTTGTTTTCTTTGTAGTCCCCCACCATAATGTTGTAATACGGGGGTTTTAGAGTTTCAAAGAAAATACACTATTTCTTTTTCTATCAGTGGGGGTTGGACATCCGTCGC